AGGACCCCGCAGTGTCACAAGAGAGGTGGACGACCGTTAAGCGCACGCATTTTTCATAGATCCTCATCCTGCGCAGTTTCCAGCGATTCCGCTGTGGCCTGGCAGCCAAACGAATCTGATGATGAATTATCTTGATGCTATTTCTAGCCAGGACAACACACAGTTTGCGAGCTCTATGCTGATATCACCGCTCTGTTGTCGCTTACATCCCTGAAAGAAGCGGTACTCCGGGCCTACTGTTCCTACAAATACTACTACTACTGTTAATTCAGAAGTATACGAATTTGAAATATTTTGAAGCAGTCGACTTGTATAATTAGTAAAATTTTGATGACCTAGTAACTAAGATATTTTTCTGAAATTTTGCACACATTCCTTTCTCGCCAAGAAGATGTTCATTTTTCGAAACCCGCCATATCGGACGGCTATAATTTGTAGGTGGCATACAATCTGCTGGATCAAAATCGGGCTCTTGTATAAGAAACTTTTGCTTTTGACGAGATATCTTCATGAAATTTGACTCAGATAATTGTCCAAGTCGATGCCATGATCTCCATATCACTTTAGCATATCCCATTTAAAATGACCAATCGAAATCACGATAATCTTATTTTTATACTCTTTTATGTTATAAGAAATGCATCTTTAAAAGGTTCCACCGACATTTATGATTTTTCTTGCTTGAAATATAATTTTTCATACTAGCGAATATTGTTCTGGCGCTTGTTTACAAGCGAACCGTTCTAATATTTGCAATATTACCGCAGGAGCTTATAAGAAATGCAATAATTTGCAATATTTGCGTGACTTTTTCCTACAAAATGGAGCAGAATAATAGGAATGCACCAGAAATACCGTTGTTGTGCTAAAACTGTATTTTTACAGCGATCGTAAAAAGTCTGTATACATATTGTGGCTATTAGACATGGCATATGACGTGATCGTTATGCTCTAGAACGTGTCGAAATAGTGGCCTGCGGTAACACCCAATCAGAAATGCTTGCTTGCAATGGAAAATGGAAAAGGAGAAAACGCGGCAGCTAAAACAAAAGGAAATTCAAAATAAAAAGCAAAACAATAATAATGCCAGAAAATGCTAAAATGGACTTAAATTACAATTAAAGCAAGCAAATGGCGTTGCTAATAATATATGTTACAGCACAATGCGCTTAGATGAAGAAATAGTATGTTGCATGTGCATTGCGAGAGCATGTAAACGTCTTTGTACATACATACCGTTTTTTCGCGAAATGCAAAATATTGAACCGGAACAAGCAGCGAAATGTAAGAGAAGCTGTTGGAGGCTGAAGTGAAAGGCCGAGGATTCGAAAAAAAGCCCAAAGCTCATACATACATATGTATGTATATATTTTTTAATATATTACTTACATATATTTGAATGTATGTTATATTTTATATGTGGGCGTAAAGCTAATTCACTGCTTACCAAAAGTCAGCATTTTTGTTGGTTTAGTTTAACCGAACACTGACCACTTGTTATATATTTTTGTAAGTATGTATAACCCTCAGCCGCCCAGCATCCAAATTGTCGAATGGACCGCGGCATATAAAGGGTGTAAGGCAGCAGCAGCACAGCTTACTCGACACAAAAACTGTCCAAACTATCAGATATAATATTGAGATACGCCAGTCATGGTTGAATAATAATAAATGCATAAATATATGTACATACAAACATACATTTGGATTTATGCTACTCCAGCAAAGTCGAGAAATCCCAAATAAATGTAACAAGAATAACACCGGAGTACAATAATAAAGAAATGAGAACGAAAAAGTAGAAGAAAACTTTATATTCATACAAACACACACAGTTACGAGTAACACGAGAGAGCGTTATGGTGCATATGCATTTGTTTGTGGGTGCAGGGTAAAACGTGAGCCCGTAACCCCACTCAAAATTCACAAATTTACAATTCTACCCACAAGTAAACAGACACACGCATTCACACTCTCCACTTACATGGGTGTGTTTGTATGTACATATATTTATGCTCATTCAAGTTGAAAAACAATTTATTAACAAAACAGTATTTATACCCACAAATATACTCCAATATATCTACACACATGCAAACATCGGGATATGAGACTTATCAGTTGGCGTAAATCGCTTGAGAGCGTTTGTGCTCCACTCTCGCTCTCAGTCTCGTATTTCTTTGCGTGTGTGAGTGTTTCGTGCTGTTTGGGAATTGCAATGTTTTTGTTGCTGCGCTCAAAACTTGTTTGCTGCAGAGAACGTCATTTGGTGCTCCTTTTAGTAAAATATACTCGGTCTCGTATTTTCTCATGGTGTTTTGGATACATGGGAAAAATCTGATTTAGTTATAATAAGGTATTCTCTGATGTTTTTTTTATCTGTATTCTTTTTTTTTCTAATACCTATTTATTTTTTTACTTTATATATATATTTTTTTGTTTATTCATTTTTTTATATTATATTTTTATTTTTTAGTTTTTTTTTTATTCATACCAGATAAACAAGTTTTAGAATAAAGTACAATTTTTTATTTTACCTTTCCAAGAATTAGAAATAATTTGTTACGATCGGCTCTGTCTCTGAAAAATTGTCCAAAAAATCCAAAAAATTGTCTAAAAAGTCCAAAAAATAGCAATACCAGCATTTTAATTTCCTGTGGGCAAAAAATAGTAAGACTTTTTGATTGAAATTGCGCGCGAAAATCCATTTGTTGAAATAGTTTTTTTCTAAGTTGGTATGACTGTCAGTGACATCTGTGCCAAACGTCACATCAGAATAATCATTCGTGTTTAATATATGCTTGACTTTCTGAAGTTACATTAAATTTTTTGTGCGGAATCAAATTTCTGATGTCTCCTTTTCGAAACGTTCAAGAAAAGAAGTTCGGTGAAAATTTTTTACCGCGAAGAAGTGTTTTCGATTGGTGTCGATTAATCAAAGAAAGTTGAGAAGGATCATCAACATCAGCTGGTGATCAACATGTCAGTAAATAAAGGAAGTACTTGAGAATCGACGATTAACAGTCAAATATTTTACTGGCATCGTTGAAATATCGAAGGGATAAGTGAAAACCATTTTGGAAGTTCATTAGGTCATAAGAAAATGGATTTTTTTTCGAAAAATAGTGTCGCGTTAACGTCTGTGAAACAATCATCAAAGCAAGTCAAAATCAAGGTTTTCTCGATTATCGAGGTGTGGTATACCCTAAGTTAATTCCGACCGGCCAAAGTATCAAAAAGACACTATTTGAGTTGTTATACATCGTTTGCGCGCAGCTTTTGGTAAAAAAGGCCGGAATTATGAGTCGACAACTCTTGATTTTTGCAGCACAATAATGCATCGTTGTATACTGCATTAATTCTTCGTGAGTTTTTCCCCAAATTTTAAACCAATATCGTGAACGAACCACCATATTCGCCTGATTTAGCTTCGTGTGACTTCTGGCAATTCAGCAAACTGAAACGGCCGCTTTGGGAAAACCGGTTTTTAGTAAATTGAAAACATTAAACATTAAAGGGGGGCTAAAGGGGACGTGGATGACATAGATTTTGAAGAATAAACAATCGGACACTATAGCATACAAACTGTTGGAAAAGGCTCATCGATTACAATTATGTATTGTATAAAAACTTTTTTTTTTAATTTGTCAAGATATTTTCACGAAATTTGGCATTGATTACTGTCCAAGGCCACGTTACAACTTCCGAAGAAGTCTTTTATTATATCGGATCACTACAGCATAGACATAACTGCCACGCATCTTGTATGAAATCTTTTGTTTTTGTGAGGGAAAACCTTCGTTTCACATAAATTTTATCCTTTGACGTTGGATATCGGCGGAGGACGTTTTTCAATGTGCCAATTAAAATTAAAATTCCTGTATTAAATTCTTTTGTCGAAGCATGTAAGTTTGTCAGAAAAATAACCAATATCTTTTAACACCTCTAGTATTTAAACTGAATATGAAATATTTTTTATTGTGTGCTATGTTTACTTTGTAATGCTCCCACTTTTGGGGCGAGCGCCAATATTATGCTCGCCTTGCTCTGAGAGAACGAAATATTTCAACAAAATTCCGCTCATTGTAATGAATAACCGAATTCGGCGCATTGAACCGACCGGCCTAGCTCTGCTGACTTGACTGCTCGCTGGCGTATGCAACATACTGTTGTTCTTGGTGTTTTGCCTTGCCTTGGTGTAGTATCTGCTGTATGAGTAAAAGAAAATCAAGAAAATAAATAAAAATGGTATGAATTCGTATGTGTGTGCGCGTATATGGCGATGACTGCTGAGCATTCGGTTTGTTGTGATGAGATTGCTGCCTGTTGCATTCAGTACCTGATATGTCGTACGTGTGAAGTGACGTATCTACCGGTAGTTTTGTAAGCGAAGGCAACTCGTCGCGAATGTTTAAAGATTTATTTGAATTTTTACCAAAAATTTTCAATTGTTAACACGAAAGTGTAATTTTGTAAAGCGGAAAAATACAAAAAATTCAGCGTGTGTTATTGAAATTGTCAAAGGTTAATTATTTATATGAATTTAAGAAATTTGTAAAGCAAATAGTTTCAACGAAAGTTCCAAGCCAATTTTCGAGTGGAAAATAATTGAATTTTTTATTGTGTGCTATTTTTGACTACAAGCGACGTGTTAGTAATAATTTTATGCTACAAATAACTGCAATGCATTGTTGTTTGTGTTGTCTAAACTGTGCGTGATTCAGTATTGCAGCATAAATTGTGTAATGCCCGAATTCTTAAAGTTCAAATAGATATTTGTTTCGTGTGCATTTTATCACTTAGAGATATAAAAAGTAGGCGCGCTAAAGCTGACAGTTTTGTTCACCACTCTGTGTACGCGCAACAAAGCTGCGACGATTTGACGTGTGTTGTTGTGTTATATATTTTTTTTTGCTTTTATCAGCGCGCGCGTGTAATTGACAACAACAAAAAACGTATGTTAATTATAAATTGAACGAATGTGTATAGAAAATGTATATAAATAAATAGTAAAATACATACATATGTATGTATATATTTACGATTGAGTTCATATTACAAAAAAAATACGCGAGCTAACAGCATATTGACATTGCGTTGAGCAGGAAATATGCTTGTGGCTTATGACTAAACGCAAATTGCGAGCAACATACGGTGCAAAAGTAAAATCCAGCAGCAAAATACCACACTACCGTTAAATAAAACGAACACCACCGAACCGATCGGGCAGGCACGAGTTCCAGCTACACTTGGATTAAATTTCACCTGATTTGTATCGTCACCTTTCGCCTATAATTAAACACAACGTGATCACGCGCTCACACTACGCTACGTAGCGCATTAACCAAATTGCAATACGCAGAACACAACAACAACAAGTAAAGAATTAAAACAAAAAAATTCTCACTGACATCCTTTGGCGCACATCCATCACAGCCGCCAATTCCATAAATCCGCTTAAGAGCTGTGAAATAAGTGCGGCGTAACAGTAACGAGTAAACGCTAGCCGATAGACGGTAAGCTGCAGGCGAGAAGTTGTGCAAAAAATACGAAAACCAAAACAACAACAGCAAGGAATTGAAGGAGCTACGCGTCTCGTAAGCGCATAACAGATTCGCGCAAAAGACCCATAATTTTAGTGACGCCACACAATCGTCGACCTTCCAACGTCCCGCCTCCTCATACGCCGGCAACGCCAACCACCATCATCAGCATCTCTTACAACAACACCAGCACCACTTGAAGCCGGCGACCTTTTCGTTAGCCGTTTAAGCGTGTGCACCTTTTGTGAGGTTGCCCTGCGTCATTTTTGTTATAACTGATCTTCGGACGTATGTACGCTCGCCAAACGAGAATACGAGTGCAAGAGCCAGCATCAGCGTTGTCGCCAGCCTGATCACAGTTGTTTTTTTTATTATTGTTGGTGTTGCAGTTATTGCTGTGATTATTATTGTGTGCTGTGCGCGGCCGCCTATTGTTGATCACTTTAAGCTGTCGTTCGTTAAAAATTATTATTGTTGTTATTGTGCTTGCCATTGGATTCCCTCAACTTGAGCGTAGCGAACCTTGGCCGATCGCACGGCCATACACTAATACATATAGACAGACAGACATTTATTTATGAGCGCAGCTCTCGTATTTTAAACGGTGGCGACGATCTTCCGCGCTGCACGCCTGTAACTATTCTACAAAACAACATCATACGCACACACGTAAGTGTTATTATTGCCATGCTCCAGGAGTAGTTGTTATTGTATTTGGTGTTTTGGACATTCGTTCTGTGAAGGTGCAGCAGCCGCCGCTTGGCAGTTAAAAAACAAAAAACGAAAACAAAGCGTGGCAGAAGAACAGCAGAAACACAAAAAAGAATTAGAGAGGTCTGTAGACCCATTACTGTTGTTGTTGTTGTTGCGTAGTCTTCATAAAAGATTTTAAAGGCCAGCTTATTGTAGAGCCTGTTGCAGGCGATCACAACAAAGCCAAAAGGAAGCGAAAACAGCCGAAAGGAGAAAGAGAACGAGCAGCAGCCACAGTCGCAGTCACAGTCGACAGTAATGGCGCCGAAGTCCAGAAAGAAGAAGGCACATGGTAAATAATAATAATAAATTTTAATCTGTTTTTATGCGCTTTTCGTTCAACCTTCAGACATACTTACCAGACACATATGTTCTTGTTCGCTTGCCTTACTCGTTAAATTCTTAGTTTTCTTACTTAAGATTTTTATTTTTTTAATTTGTGCATTTGGTTTTTGCTCTCCGCTCTTCTGTGTTTTTACCCTCCATTTGTTTTAATGCATTTTTTAGCATTTTTCTAAATTGTCATTTCATATTTCGTTTATAATTATAAGATTCCAATGTGACTACGGAAGAATGCCACAAATTAATGTCCGATTTAGTGTGGTTTTATTGTTATGATTTAAAATTAGCGAATACCTGTCTATAAAGTTTTTTTTTTTATTGTCTATACATACTATGTGTATATTCGTTGCCAACATTTCGAAAATTATTTCTAATAAAATTTCTGAGTTAGGGCTTTAAGGACATTGACTGGTTGATCGGTAATTTTCGAAAGAGGGAAAAAATTACTATAATAGTCTTAAATATTTGCACTCTTTCCGATCAGACCTATGGCATGATTGGGTGAAGTTAAAAAGTCGACCTTAACAGGGATCTCACTTGGTAAGCCTGTCCATTGTGGTACCTAGTACTGCTGTATATTTGAGTATAAGATCATCAGAAATCGAGACAGAGCCTTGAGCCTATGAAAAAATTTGTTTGAAATGGTTAATGTCAGTTTGGTTGGACCAAGGAAAGACTGCCGACTTGTTTAAATCTCAGCCATTGGACGAGCAAATGCCCAGTTGTTTTCACCACATAACCATCTATACAACTTAGATAACTTGCGTCAGACTAGATTTCTAACCTTACCGCATTAATACTTAAGCTAAGTCCCCCAGCCATTACAAACAAGGATTTTATTAACGGTTTTATTAATATTCATATCGTCATATTTTTGTAGTAGTTATACCAACTTGAAGAATTATGATGAGTGAAAAATCTTTACATGTATATGAATTATGTTCTTCCAAAAATAGTGTAAGACATTTATGTCTTCAAGGATACCAATATTTATTAGTTCTATACCTCAGCGAACCGTATTTATACTTGGAATCAGTCGAATCCGTATTCAAATCTTCATATAGTATTACTTCCGAGCGTTTAGATTAGAACACAGGAGATCTCCCGAACTATTTGCCTTGTGCAAAGTTCATCTTGCCGCAATCTTAAGAGCTCTTACAGAACACTGTCCAATAGGCAGCCATGCGATAAGGCTAAGACGAATTCTAGTTCTCAAAGTTGTATGGAACACATCTAGGAAACATTTGGGCGCTTTCTCTTCCATTTTCAAGCCTTTACACGTCTGAGGCTGACTCATCTCGGTAACCTTACCTTCGGCAAACCAGATCTGGCATATAGCCGAAACTGACATAAGCGTCTGCATAAATTTGTGATAAGCGGACCGGCGTGAGATCCGTGTTGGGATCGATCTCGTAACCTTACCTAACTTAACCTAACAGCTCAGATAATCGATTCATTGTATATAGAGATTCACTTGAATATTCGAAATTGTCTGACACGTGATAAAACTTACTTATGTGGTTGGCTGGCCATAGCAGATTTTTTTTGGCTAATACTTGCAAAGAATGACATTATCAGGCCGTATGTATGGGTTCTGTTGTCTCCTCAATGTTTGCTAATGGTCGCTTGAATCTCTTGTGAGTTTGGGGAACACTTTTCAATCATTAGTACGTGATTGGTTTGGAGGTTATTCTGGCCCAGGCTGAATATAGTAAGCGCGCTACCTCAGCAAAGTTCTTATCTTTCTAGTTTTTGGGATTTAGGACGGTCAACGTACGTTACTGCCTACGGTACATAGTGATATGAAACTGATTTGTAAGCAATTTTGAACCAGATTCCAACTTCCTTTGGAACAATACTCTTTGGCTGGCTTTATTCACTATTTACTTTTCCCTACTAATCGTTAGTGACTCAAATATGTATTACGAATAAATAACTTATGCTCTAAAAACGTAATATGTGGAAATCAGCTGTGTGTCCTAACAAGCTTTCAGGGTTTTCGAGTCGCATCATAACTGAAACCACTCGCTAAAATTGTAACAAAATTTTATGTCCTTTCACAAGAATTATTGCTTTTGCAACTTTTAAGAGCAATTGCTTGAAAAAATACTCACATTCCGTATTCACTGCCAAAAAACCCACAAAATAAAATGCTTTGGCATTGTAAAAATAAAAATTACGATCCCACAGTTACATATATCAGTCGAGAAATAATCTCACGAACCACCGGTGAATGTTGAATTTAATGAAAACCCATAAAATGCTTGAGCGAAAGGCGAGTGATAGTAAGGAAAAAATAACAACAAATACTATGTTTTTTCTTCAAATCATGCGCTTTAAGCAGTTCAAGAAGAAAGAATGACATTAGACACAAACACTAAAGAAAATAGAGAAAGGAAAACACAAATATGCATATATAAGTGTATATGTGCATGATAAATATAGCAGAGAAAAAACCCCAAATAATACCAAAACAAATGCACAATCAACGATCATTCGAACCGGCAGGCCGTTTAATTCGTTTCGAACCTCGACTTTTCTCAATGCTTACTATTACACACAAGTACAACAATAATGAATGCCATACACATGGGAAAATACAATAGGTGGAGTAGAGGTAAAGCAATACCAAATTCTTAATCTCGATTTGTTATGGTCGTGCTGGGCATAAAAACAAAAGGTTTAAATGCGCAGCAAGCAGTGGATTTGTAATAATATGCTTTATTTTGCTCGATTTCGTTTTTCTTACATTCGTTCTTTATAAACAATACAATTCTTTCGAGCCGAGTGGTCAATGGTTGTAGGATTTACAAAAAAGCATGCATTTATTGTTAAATATCATTTATTTCATTTACTTATAGTGTGGTGAAGTAAAATAGCAACACGATTGTGAACGTAAGCAGCAATGATAATAAAATATTATAGTTTTTTTTTTTTTTTGAGAATTTTTCGGATAATTCTTATAGATTTTTATGGTTATTATTGTAAACTTTATTAATTTCGTTTTTTTTTGTGCTTTCAATGGTAGTTTAGTTATTTTTTCACAAAATATTTTTGATAGGAGAATGTTGTAATAACCAATTAAAAAAAAAATCATTGCAATTAAAACAATAACAACCACAATTTGTGGGTTTTTTGGCAGTGAATATTAAATTTAAAACAATCGTATTTTTAATA